GATGATAGGCTCTGATAATGAATCACCAACCCGAACTGACATGGTCCTTTGTCGGAGAAACTCCTTGATCCAGTCCAGAACGAAANGCCTGCATCGACGGATTTTGTCCACTCATCCCGTGCAAGGAGTAGGTTTGTGGTGCACGAGCGCCTGTGCTGAAATCCGTGCTGAGTTGGAGACAAAAGCTCATGCTTCTCCAGATATTCCATCAACAGGTCTGCCACAGTATAACTTCGAACAATATCGGAAGAAGTGTAACAGGGCGGTAGTTGGCGGGATCACTGCAAGATCCCCCTTTTTAAATGGGAGCAATCACCCCTTCCTTCCATGACTGCGGAATTGCTGCTTGGTTAAACAGCCAGAGGTTCAGAAATGTTATTTGGTGTGCGGATTTGATGTGTTTCTGTAAGTGAGTCACATTACGTGAATCCCCACGAGTAAGTTTTACAAACTACGTTCAGTCAAACCTACCATTCATGTTTTTCATGTCGTCTCGGTCAGAATCCAAGCTGACTAACTTGAGCTTGTCAGTCCAACCGATTTGAGGACATTAGCAACATAGTCCCAACGACACATGTTACGAGAGGTCAATTTGTGTAACAGTTGCTCGGCCGCTTATCAATCATCTGTCTGGCTACGTTTTTTGCACGATGATCGGTAGCGGAAGACATATGCAAAAATGCACAAAGTTTAATTTTCGCCCATTGTCGTCACATGCCAAGGTTTGACACAAACGTCAAAACTTTTTTCTGTTGTGCTGACGTAATCCGATTACCGTGATTGTAGTCCATTGAGGGACAATCGATATGTGGCATTGCGCTGTATCGAGCATCCGCTTTCGGTCATTCCGGCTTGCTTAGATTTTGTATCCAACGCGTTCCGGCGTTCTATGTGAAGGAAAATGAAATTTCCACACCATATGGCAATATCGATTCGCTTCTTACACCAGGTTGACCACGTCGTTGCAGAACGCAGGAAAGACCGCTCAAGTCTCTCCAGTATGCATCTTTGACACAAACACACACACAGATGCGATGTCGATGTCATAGAAGAATACGGGTCCGATTTGCAAATCAGGTAGCAAACTAACCAAATAACAGGTTTATTGCAATCCGATACCGAATGTGTAACACGATGGTGTCAAAAGGTGGACTGAGAATAGACAAATTTCCGTAACGGTATATTGTTTCTAATCTGTAGACACGTAATTGTTTAAAAACAATTTCTTAAAAAACAAGGATCTTTATTTACGCGTTGTCCTATTTACACCTAACTCGTTCACACTTCTCAATGTAACTCGGTAATGACGTTGTAAGAACGAGTTAATTCGTTTAATTTAGCATTCTTCATGGGTTTATTTACCTTGTTTTTGTCTCAACGGAATGGATTTGGTTTGCCCAACTAATCGCAAGCTAATCGATCGGATTGGACCAGTTCGCAGCTCCACATTGATGTACATCAAATTCACTAGCTTGCAGAGTGAATCCGGTACTACCCGTTCTATCACGTTGCCTATTCCGCATTTATCTTGTCCACGTATCCATGTAGCTACCTCATTTAGCCTCGCTGGATTTACGTGGTACACAAACCCTGGCCAATGACACCAATCTAACACGGCTCCCGGNATCTGGAGGAGGTTGTGCTAGCTAATATGCATTCCCTAAAGGGAGAGGTGGGAATTGCCCAAATGCTTCGTCGTTTGCCCCGGTTGCGTGTGTTGGATCTGTGCGGTTTGTCCGCTGTGGGTGATATGACCATGGAGGCGCTGGCTCAGAGTTGTCCACATCTCGAGGATTTGGACGTCAGCTGCACATCAGTAACACAGAATGGGTAAGTGACGGTCCAGGGTACTGTCAGATGTGAGTGAAAATATATTATGTACCAGATCCACATATTTGACGTCGCTGTCTTTCATTCCTGACCTCATAGTCTTGATTTTGAACGAGGCGAATGTGATTTGTCACGAGTTATGGCCATTTGCCCTTGTCGAGTTCACTTTACCGGGCAAGGCTTTCCTGAAGTGGTGAACGAACCAAACAAATGGTCACCTGCTCATTTGCTTTGCTGTTTGTGCTTGGTTGCCCAAACACCGGAGTTCATACCCGATCAAGGCCTACTCTGAACCGGGCAANCCCACGGTGTAAACATTTATAAACGTTTGTCAGTCATTAAACTTGGGTGTTTCAGAACGACTACTAATGGTTGACCATTTTAAACTGCACGCACACTCATCTCCCCAAATCCCGTTGTACCTCACTCATTCCATTGAAACGCAGAATTACTACAAACGACTGTGCTAACAATGTCTCAGATGGTAATATTGTCCCTTCCGGTCGTATCGAATCTCCCGCCACCAGATGATGCTCTTTGTCGTCCACAGTGCCTCTTCGATGTAATCTCCTTGATTATGCCAACCTTGATGTATATAATGCGACAGATGTGTTTCGATTGTACGCTCGAGATTCTAGCCATCAGTGTGAAACGTCGAAAAGTGCTGTCGCTGATACCAAATCAGGTCGAAACAACTGTCCTCTGTTTCCTAGTTTTTCTGTCCATGTTTCACGTGCGCGGTACACGATAAAATTCACTATAATCTACTTTAATTCTCCACTACTTCCGTGTGATTGTAATTTTGTCTTTATAATGAATTCGTCGTGTAAATGAGGCTTGAACTGAAAAGCTGAGGAGCACTGGACAGCTGTTTCGACCTGGTTGGGTCTCATCAGCAATGCGAATCCATCGATCCAATTGGGGATCGAACCTGCGACCTCACAGGTAAAACGCAAGCATGCTACCCACTCGACCACCCGGGCAGCTGATCAGACCGTTTCTCATTTAGAATATACACGATAAAGCACAACCCATCTTTGCGAGTGTGTTACGAGTATCGGTCCTTACTCATTTCATCTCCAGAGTTATGACTCAGTTGGAAACGTTCACAACTTAACTATTGTTTTTTCATAATCATCGTGGAGGCCCTTATCCAAACCGTTATTGTCAATCATTTACATGTCTGTTTCTTTCAAACAGCCTTCTACATCTGGCTCAAGTACCAGCCACGTGCCTGCGTTGTCTGCGCATCAGCCATTGTCGTGAGATAACCAAAGATGTCCTGGAGAAGTTGATCAAAGCATGTCCAAAGCAAGTCGCTTTCATGTTCTCCCTGTTCATTTCTGATTGATGCTATTAATCACACTATCCAGTTTGATTTTTATTCCTCGTTTTGGCGCATCGGAACGCAATTAGGAGAATGTTGATGATACATACCTGGGTAAACTCGCATACTCGGGATGCAGAGAGAATTCTCGTCAGACCATACGAGGACTGGGCATGAATTTGTTTGATATTAGCGAGGAAGCACATCACGCCAGGGACTCCATTTCTTCAAAGTGATGCATTTTTATATCTGTTTGGTATTTATTCACAAGTTCATTTTCACAGTATGGTATCGGAATTGTCAAATTTGTCTTTTCCACACCACAGAAGTGATATTTGCTCTGCTGTCTCTTGTTCGACTAGACCCTAATCCGTCTCCACCCTACTCTTTCACAGGTTGACTTTGTTGTACGCGTACGGGTTCAATTCTATCAAAGATTGGAGCTTTTTACAAGCAATCCGACCCTCATTACTGGTAGAGACTGATGCCTAGTATTCTGTCATCCAAGTCGCACGAGTATCAAAAATTTCTCCATCTTTCTCCCATTGACGCTATTTCGGAGAGTGTAACGTCCCTCTTCTTCCTAACCCCTCCGTTTCTCATTGTCATCACAGTCAAACTAGTGTTCATCCCGAGTGTGTGTGCTCACTCCGTGTTTCGATTTGCATTTGTGCCCGATTTCGGCCGATCGTACAAACAAACTGCACCTCACTCACGCCCACATAACCCATTCTACTCCACTTCGTTTCCACCCCCCCCCTCACCCGTCATACGCG